CATACTGATGTTCATGATCACACTGAGAACCGATGCAGTGCCTTTTGTTTCGAACGTGTTATCTCGAAGAGACTTGATGTGAACAGCAACACCTAGACGAACTACATCCAATTATCATTTTTATCATTATATAAATTTTGATGGTTACGTGATACATTTCGGGATGGATATGTTTATATTTCATGTATAGTTATTTGATAAATTAATGGCAGTTCAATGAGAAAACCGTTTATTCTATGATTATTATCTATTTTTATGTTTAGTGGTTTATAAAAAGTGAATGAACTGTTGAGTATTCAGCTCAGTTATCAAACGTTGTTGGGTATCAACTGTAGTGCCATACAATTAGTTCCTTTGACAGACTATAAATTCAACTTATATGAATAGGTAAATTGACTACAATCATCGCTAACTACTAAATTAAGTAACTATACATTGTTCAATCTGAACTTTATTTGAACTCAGTATTTAAGGAGATAACGCAATGGCGATTATAACGAACTATACTGGGTTAGAGTTTCGGAGTATTAACCAGCTCCAGGATCTAGGCAAATCTAGCTGAGTCCAAAATAAAACAAAAATCATATCCTGGTTTCCACTGTCAGATACATCGTATTTATTATATAAATAACTGTATGTAATTTACACACGAAGTCATATTTAAAAAACATTTTATCTATATAAATCAGTGGATAAGATCTAGAGCACGTGAAAATAAATGAATTCGCTTCATTCTACTGTTTATGCTTCTGTTTTACGGTATGTCGAATATAAGTTATGTAATAGACCTCAAGTTAAATAAATTCAGCAAAGTGAAATTAATTTATTGAAGATATGTTGAACATGACGATCCATTTGATGAATATAATGATAACGAATAGCCAATAAGTGGAAATAACAAATTTTAAAGCTAGACTATGGTAAAATGAGAAAATAAACATCGCTTTCCTATACAGAGATCACGAATTAATCAATGAGCTCCTAAACCCTAATCCAAGCGCATATTTTCGATTCAACTTCCTGTGAGTCAGTTTTTGACATTTTAGAACATCCTGAATAACAATTCAGGTGATACAACATAACCACCTTTTCATGAATGCAAACATTGTCTGATATTCAGTCATTTTCAGATAGCCGTAGATGATAGTGACTGAATTTACGTTTAAAATGCGAAAAAATTTTGTCACCACTATAAAATGACTTACAATAACGAGTAAACGACATACATTTAGGTGGGTCAAAGTGAAAAATTGTCGCAATTTGAAGAACATTTATTTAAAGAGAAAAGAAATAGATAAAAAATATCATTCTCTTTCCCAATACACTGACATTTTTTATTGAATCTCAAACATCAAAGGAATCAAATATGCCTACTAATGTTACTAAGAATAATGATATATTTGAAAACTTCCAATGAATAGTAAATCGATTTTCTGATGTTTCGCACCCTAGTCTATGTCGTTTCTTTACAGAATAACTAACCAAATTAAATTAACACGATTTTAAATAGTACAAAAGAAACAAAGGAGAATACTTTTAGTCCAGTTGAAATTGATAAAGGTCTAATCATGTTATTGTTATTACATGGTTTCTGTCTGGGTGACTTCGTGATGCTCACTTTTGTGTGTATGTGTGAATATCTGTTGACATGGGAAATATCAAAGTTGTAATGTGACCTGAAAGTTGAGGTATATAAGCGAGAGCAAAGCTTGTGGTTTTGACTCCTTGAAGTGAGGTCGTAGATGTTCATTTCTGAGGAGTCCCATAGTAGGAAGAAGCGGTTATTTAAAGCCTCCAAATCTTCACTTGTCTAAATTAGATCGGTTTGTGATTCCAATTAAATTTAATAATCCCCATAACCTCATATAGTGTTTTAAATATTTGGATGTTAGTGGTGAAACGTGTGAACAAAATTAAATACGTGGATATTTGGATAAATGATTCATGTTCAATGAATAGTTAGGGCTTCTTTTGTATTGGTAAAGTTACGGTTTAACAATATGTTAAACGTTTTAGCAAATCATCCTACTTTATAGTTGCTGAAATTTTTTCGAAGTATTTTAATGTTTTGAATATTGATCCGATGGTTAATAAAAAAAATATCATGTACTACTATTTCTGATTTGATCTATAGATTTTCGAGTTCTACAGGATTGTTCGCAAGTTTTTTTATCGGTTTCTACATTCCTTGGCACAGCTTGAGATTTCATAAAAAGACTTACCAATGTAGAAAGCTTCATAATCTACACATTATAATCTGTAGACACATTTCTTTGTTGAATGTTTGTTGTTTTATGGAATGCTTTCAGATTTAGGGATTCGTTACAGTTTTTCTCTTGTGCCTTGATTGTACGGTAGAACTACAGTACCAACTTAGGCGATCTGCTTTATTATTCAACAAAGGAATATTTCGTTTTATTATTTTTTAAAGATATAATTAATGATATGGAAGCTAATTATATTTTTATGTTTCTCTTTGTTTCGCTTAATCTGATGTAATGATTATTAATGCTCAACTGGATAAACTTAGAGTCGGAGAAATTTTCGCACTAAATGGATATAACGAGTTGTAATCTATGTACCTATTTGAATATGTTAGCTTGCTGTATTTGGTGAAATTCCCATTTGAGTTCCTTTTGGTTAAAGGGATTAAAGATGGTATTCCGCTAAGTTTATCTTCATTTTCGAAAATGACTTTGATGTTTGATGAGGTATTTATCAGTTCATAAAAGTTTCTTAAGAAAGTCTTTTTACTAATGACGAATATGTAATCCACACATCTGAGCCAAACTAGTGGTGTGATGGCACTGGCAAAATCATTTTCTATGTGAGACATGAATAAATTAGTGACACTAAGGGACACAGGGAATCACATAGCCACCCCGTTAGCTTATTTGTATGACGTCCTTTTAAACGTAAATAAAGTTGGGTGCTGGCATAGTTTCAGAGAATTCTTCATTACAATAATGTTAAATGAACATCCGCTGGATAGAACGGTATCATTTTCGAACAAAACATCAATAAAATCTAGTCATCTATCAATTGAAGTGCTAATATGTAAAGATCCGACATAATAGCCTACCAATATTTCATTTATTCGTACTTAACCCAAAATTTTCGGTTCGGATTCATAAGAATCATTAATTGATTTAATGGTTGAGATCATGAATCAATTGAAGCTAGACCACTTTGGAAAACCTGGGAGCACTGGACAACCGTTTCTCGTTATTGTGGGGTTTTTCCTGGAGTTCTAGTGAGAAGCAGTGACTAGTGGAGTTCAACCGGGTCTGTTAAAAGATTGTAACTCACTGATGACAATAGTGGATGTGTCGCTCAATTTCGTAGATAAGTTGAAGCTAGATATTAACGGCATTGGACGCCAACATAGTGATCTAGTGGTTAAGCGTTCTTGCGCGAGTCTGATAGATTCTGGGTTTGAATCCCGCGAGGCGGGATCGTGAATGCACACTGCTGAGGAGTCTCACAATAGAACAAGACGGCCGTCCAGTGCTTTCCTGTTTTCTATAGTGGTCTAGCTTCAAGTGACTCATTATTTCAACCACTGAAATTACTATAATATTCACAAAAACCCTCCCGATATGAATCATTGATTGCATTGAGTATACCGCTTTGGTATTTTGATTAACCATATGCTGGCGTGTTTGTAAAGTATGTTAGAATATCAGGTTTATGATTTTTTGATAATACATAAACCTCTATTCATGTAATAGATCTATGATGCCCATCAACCCCCTGCCAGTTACGTGGTATGGATTGCTACGTGTTTCCATTATGTTACGAAATAGATCATTTCTATCCACTATTGACAGGCCTGCCTAATAGTAAGATAGAAGAACCCAGTGTCCCTAGATGTTCGGAAAGGTTGCTGCTAATAACTGAATAACAATTCATCCGCAACAGGGTTGTCGTCAGCATTTATTTGGTTTGATAAAACATATTCTTTTAGTGGCTACTTTAGAGAAACAATCCGTATCTACGATAATATGCCACTATAATCCTTATTATCCATGAGAAAAATCTAGACAAATTTTTATTTGCATCAGAAGGGGTTTTGTGGAGACTGTAGTAATTTCAATAGTTGAGATCATGAGTTAGTTGAATCTAGATCGCTATGGAAAACATGGAAGCACTAAATGGCCGTTTCGTCATAGCATGGGACTCCTCAGCAATGTGCATTCACGATCCCGCTTCGCGAGATTCGTACCCAGAACCTACCAGTCTCGCGCAAGAACGCTTAACCACTAGATCATTGAGTCGGCATCTAACGATGTTAATGTCTAACTTCAACTTATCTATGAAACTGAGTGACACATCCACCATTGTCATCAGTGAGTTACAATCTTTTAACAGACCCGGTTGAACTCCACTAGTCACTGCTTCTCATTCGAACTCCAGGAAATACCTCTTGAAACCAGTCACTAGTGAGCATATGTTGATTAGTATCAGAAGGGGTTTTGTGGAGATTATAGTAGTAGTGGTCTAGCTTCAAATGACTCATGATCTCAACTACTGAAATTTTTATTTCTTGTAAAACAACTTAATTGAGATTTACATTCCTTCGTTAAAAATTCTTTAGTAGTAATATTCTTGTATGATGTTTAAAATTTTTTACAGTACTTTGATTGATAAAACATTTAAATAGGGTTTTTCTTGTGAATAACTTGTTAAAGTTTAGCAGAGGTCCTGGAAATATATTTACTGAGTGTTTTGGAAAATGAGATTTTTGATTCTGTCTCTGTTAGGTTCCCCTAAGCTTCAATGATATATTTCCTAATCACTCCTTCACAATGTTATCGGTATATTCTTAGAATCGTCTGTATTCGTTCTCTGATAAATCCCACGGTACATATACTCTTGGTGAGATAGTAAATTCAGTTTCCAATAACTTCGATTTCGCAAGACTACTAAAAATATTAATGTTAGCACAACAAGAGTAACCAATAATGTTGTTTTCTGTTATTGTTGTTCACTGTTTAAAGGTATTTAGTTGAACATGGAACAGCATCATTACAAGAAGCTGATGAAAATGGACGTCTACCTATTCATGTAGCAGCAGTATTTGGTCAACCAGTTATTTTATCTTATCTCATACGCGTTTTATCTACTCGTCTTCATCCACTTAACATTCCAGCTCAATTTTTATCTGCACTGAATGAAGATAATGAATGTTCTTTGGAAGAGGAAGAATCTGAAGACAATGTAAATATGAAACAAAATGAGAACGCATTTCATTGTAAACTACCTGAGGCTGCAAACAATTCTTCAGACAGTTTTAAAACAAGTATCATGAAAACGATTGCAGCTGCAAATTATCTCGATATGAATCACTGGACTCCGTTACACCATGCAAGCTGTGAAGATGCTGTGAATTATTATTACGATTGTATAAAAATTCTATTAGATAATGGAGCTGATCCAATGTTGCCTACTTCACAAGGAAAAACCGCATTAGATTTAGCATATGCTGCTGGTAGATCACAATTGTTAGTTGATGTATTGCCAAAGAAACAATTAATTGCTTTACTGATGCTAATCGATGATATCGTTCCACTGAAAGTGAGAAAACGACTATCCGAAGAGGAAAGACTAAAAGAACGTACTGGATTAGGTGGTATGACAGCTAGTGAACCATACTCCGTAATGAGTGCCAAAAGAGAACCTAGCCCAGGTTTAAGTGCTGGTATGCATAAAGCATCTCGTAAAGGTTATTCATTTATTCGTCGTTTAGCTGATAAAATGGATACAACTGATGTTAGCAAAGGTCAGTTGGGAAATTTCACAAAAACTGTTAAAGTCGATAGTACAAATATAATGAGCATATGGCGCAAGATTTTATTAAATGATAATGTAGAATTATTAGAAACACTAAGAGATTCTCTAGCCTGGAGACAAAGCAAATCAAATACTTCAACACTCCCTACAGATTTTAGCAAAATAAGTGATAGTATAACGATGCCTACAGATCACATTTCATTAGATGATTTTGAAACTGCACAACAAATTAGCCTAAAACAAATGTCTGAACTATTTTCTGACTGTTACGAAAATGGTACTGGTGTTTTTACACACGTTCAAGGTGCATTTCAAGAAAACTTAAAAGCTCATGATTTTCGAACTGTTCTACAATCAATGAGCGGTTTACTTACTTTCAAATCATTAAGTACCAATAAAATTGTGATTCTTCGTCCAATGCATAGATCATTGTTATTCTTAGCAATTATTTGTGGACGATTTCGTGTCGTTGAACAATTAATTCGAATGAGACAATTTGATGTTTTACCAGCAGCTGTTTTGGTGACACTTATTCTTCGTCGACTTCACAAAGAACCTACTTTTCCTCAACAAGTAAGTTGTGTACATAATTTTAAAACAAATAAATAATTTTTAACACTTTTGTTATTTAGAAAATGGTTGATGAACAGATTAGCCATGACTTCTTAATACTTATTAGGAACTAATTTGGTTTTAGATGCTTCATAAAGATTACTCCTAATCTTTTAACATAGAAGACAGTTCATCATGATTTTTCGTCACCTAAAGTGATAATTATTCTATGCTAATGATCAATTATATTTAAGATGATCTTCACAGCATCACATTACTAGCTATTCACTGATTTATCAAACACATTTACTTTTATTTTATCGAGTTACATAAAATGATTTATATAAAGGCGCCATATTTAAGTGGACTTCTACAAACGAATTTCATAAAAATTTATTATATATATATATATATATATATATATATATATATATATATATATATATATATATATAAGCGCAAAATATAAAGGCGATATTTCTTCAGAAGTATTTGAAAGCCAACTGAAACGATACTTAAGATTATCTTTTCTTGTTATAACTTTATCAATAAAGTTAAGATGTTTTTAAATATAAATAAATCACATATTTGTAATATTCCAATGAGTAGGAAAAGTTAAATTTTCTGACGTTTCGTGACTAAGTGTAAGACGATTCTTCTGAGAATAAATAAATAAATAAAATTTATCCAAGTTAAAATTTTAAGATGTTTTTAATTCATCAGATATAAATTAATGCATGATAGTTGTAAGACTAGATAAATACCGGCTCAGTGGTCTAGTAGTTAGCCACTCGCGCGCAAAACTGATAGGTCCTGGGTTCGAATCTCAAGAGGCGGGATGATGGATGCGCACTGCTGAGTAGTCCCACAATAGGAAGAAACGGCCGTCCAGTGCTTCCAGGTCCATTGTGGTCGAGCTTCAATTGACTCATGATCTTAACTATTGAAATTACTACAATCTCCACAAAACCTCTTCTGATACAAATTCAATCCCTTCTATGATATTATCATTTTAAGTACATAAACACATATTTTTAGTAGATGCAACACTCATTTACCCACTGAACAATGGAAACATTTTTAGATTATACTTTACAGAATATAGTAAGTAGTTAAATGCCATTTCCAGTAAAAGCAAATTAGATCTGAGAAACATGTTTTAATCACAATTATTCTTAACAGATATTGAAAAACATAAAGAACTGATTGAATGTCATTCGACTGAAATATAATAAAATGAGTTTTCAATAATCCTGTACATCTTTTTTTTAAGATGACTCATGAAATCTTAAGAAAATCTATTTTTATTTGAATTAATTTTTAGATGTTAGGTGAACTAATCACTTTTGCTGACCGATTAGAAGCTATCGCTGTTGATGTACTCAATTTAGTTTTTCTTAAAGACAACACTCCAGAAAAAATGATATGTCGTTCAATGTTGAATGCACCTTTGCGTACATTCGGAGGAATTTCATTAATAGATTTATGCGCCAAAGCTAAATGTACTAACGTATTAAGCTTATCTTGCTGTCAAAGACTTCTGGATGAACGATGGCACGGGGTTTTGATTTGTTTGCCTATATGGATGAGATGGACATGCAAATTTTTCCCTGTGGCTGGGCTCTTTTATTTTGAATACAGAACGAAAAAAGAACTTAAACGTGCAGAATTGATAAGAAATATAACAGCCAATGCAGCATTAGGTGGTAAAGTGACTCCAAACTTACTCAGTGATTCAGCAGGTCGTACAGAATCAAAATCTACTGGGAATATTATAGCTAAAGTTTTCCCTGCCACACCTCAATTACCTAACAATCCATTAACCATAAAGCGCACAAAGCCACTGAAAGTTCAGAACACCATCTCTGTCCATTCATCTCAAGGCCCTAAACCACATGTAAGTATTTACGAACGTATGTCAAATCAATTTGGATGGACCTCTTCACCAAGATTCCATTTTGTTACAGGAGTTTATTTGTCACCTTCAATGAAATTCTGCCTGCACTCTTTATTTCATTTATTATTCTTGATGTTGTTTTCAGTTGTATGTGTATATAATCTACATTTTTCCTGTAGTCGAATGGAAGTAGTTTCTTTATCTTATGTATTGGGTTATGCATTTGAAGAGTTAAGACAGCTGATACTTGAAGCATCTCGAGATGGATTCAGTGATTATTTAAGAGATGGTTGGAATTGGATCGATGTGTTTGCAATTACTTTGACATTTATTGGATTTTGTACAAGAATGAATGTGGTAAATAAACATGGATCAGAATTCGAAGAAGCTCATGATGTTATACTTTATACAACTCGTAATCTTTATATGCTTGGTCTAAATCTTTTTTACATGAGAACTCTACATATTACTTCAATTTCACCAATTATTGGTCCACGACTTAAAATGATGGCTGATATGTTACGTAAAGATTTGATACCATTATTAATAGTATTTGCAATTTTCATAGTCTCTTATGGAGTATGGTTTCAAGGATTAATATATCCAAATAGTTTTTATGAAACACATGGGCAACGTCAAAATAAACATTTAATGAACAGCACTGAATTATCACGTCAACGTGATATGCAGAGACTTGGAGTGCTTATGTCATTTAGTGAATTATTTCGACGCGCCTTCTATAGTATATTTGAAGTGAGCATTGTTTTAGAAGAAGAGACATGTGAAGATAATAAATATTGTGGCAGTGAATTAGGATTTAATACAGTTATATTTTTTGTTCTGGTGCTATACGTTGGAATTGTTAATATTATCTTAATCAATCTACTTATTGCATTGTTCAGTAATACAGTATCAAGAATTGATCAAAAGTCAACAGCACATTGGTTAGCTGGACGTTATAAAATGGTTAAAGAATATAGTGAACGAACATTATTACCACCACCATTCAATACATTATGCATAATTTATGAATTATTTCGTTGTTTCTACATTGGTACTAGTCAATGCTTTTGTAAGGATATAAAATTTCCATTTGGAAGAAATAAAAAATTGTTTAAAACTGAGTCGAATGATGACTTGGAGGAACAAGAAAATGAATCACCTGATGAAGAGAATAGTAATTTGAAAAAACATTTAACTAGAGAAAACCAACTAATTAAAATTAAAGAAGAGAATAATAGACGAATTAAATTATTAATGGGTGAATCAGATGATCGTGGTAAATTATATAAACAAGAAATTGACGCCGTATTAAAATTCATTTTAATACAAAGTTTTGCATTACAAAATAGTAGGCACACATTGGGCACAGGAGTTAGTTTTAGAGGACCATATACCAGTCAAAATACAAGCAGTTCTGATGGAACAACTAATAATGAAAGTATACAATTACGTAATAATCAAATAGATAGTCGATTAGAACGTATTGAAGCTATATTAGAAAAAGTTGTTGATCGTGTAAATCAAATTAAAATAACTGATACATTATCCACTCAAGAAACACCAACTATACGTTCACCTGTTCCTATACGTATGCCATCTGTAAAATTGACTCATGCACCTACTGATGTACAGTTTACAGCTACAAAAATTCCAACATCAAAAGAATTATTTCAACAACTTAGTGATGAATTTCGAAATGAAACTGAAACAAATACACAATCTCTTAGCAGTAAACCACCATCTATCAAAATACAAAAATCATTATAAGACACTGTAGTTTATTTTTTGAAAAAAAACTCTTAATAACCTATGCAATTAAATAAGCACAATAAAAACTGGGTTTCTTTCTCACTATATACAGAATACAGGCAAATCTAAAAATCTATCATATTCATACTATAGAGAATTATTTTCTAGTACAGTTACTATTTATTCTTTAAGAAGAAATATTGAGAAAAATTTAACAAAATAAAAGTAATATGAAATGTAATGTCATAAACAATTGAAATAAACATTAGAATTTCGATAATGCAATAAGAAGACAAAGTTTATCAGAATGATGTGATATATTTGCTCAATACATTTCGAACAATCTAATCATACATAATACACTTGTTAAGAACATTTATAAATGAAAACTAAAAGGTCAACTAGACAGATTAAAGGTAAGCCGTAACAAAGAAAAAAAATAATCATAAAGTACACAAAACACAAATGTGATTACCACTTTAATATTTTTTCCTTTTTTACCTTTAAACCTGTCTAGTTGACCTTTTAATTTTCATATAACAAATGTCTTAACAAGTATATGTGTGATCAGATTGTTCGAAATGTATTGCGCAAATGTATCACATAGCTCTGATAAACTTTGTCTTCTTATTGTATTATTGAAATTTATCATAGGGACTAATTGTTTTAAACATTAGAATGTTGTTTTCTTTTTTCTAAAAAAAAAAGAAGAAATATTACCTAGTTATTCATCTATGATTTTTCTTTCTTTCTTTCTCTTTTTTTTCTTTCATTTATTCTTTTATTCATAAAGAATGAATAGCTCCATTAAGTTATTCATTGAAATAACATGTGTATGTATTAGAGATGTATATGAAAACAGATGAACTAAACATAATATAATTTTAATAGATTAATTAATCAGGGATAGATATTTAATATTCATTAAACATGAAATCATTTTGATCAAAATGTACATCATTCATTAAAGAATAGATCCGTTTTTTATTGATTGATTGATTTGATTGAAATAAATAGTTTATTAATTTTTTTTTGGGGGGGGGGAAATGGGAGAGGGGTGAGTGATGGTGTGGGGTGGGGTGGGTTAAAACTATTTCAATTGTACCATCATTTTAATCTATTGTATATTCTCTAATGATTTACTGATATATATCTACTTCTTAACAAAATTATATTCAAGTTAAATATCTCCTTATTACAAATTAGTTTGACCAATTATTTTTTGAGAAAAAAAAAGACAAAAAAAGAGAGAAAACTTATTGAATCGTAGAGTGTCAGTTACTATTGTATCTTTATGTGTTACATGTTCAATTGTATATTTAATGATTAACAATAAATTAAATTGGTGTTATTATCAAGGTTTAACTTGATAATTTTGAATAAATTAAGCATTGGGTAGATTGTGTGCAAAGATGGATAGTGGTTAGCAGTGGAATCTATGACGCGCGTTTCGTCCTATTCTGGACTCGTCAACTCGATGTACCTGCACCTCAGAGTTGACGTTCACTTTGGAGCTCCAACTCAATAGCGTTTGCTTCAAATGCCATTTCGCTACTGAGTCCTTGCATATAATGCTTGTGAATTAAGACTATATCGAGGCAATCTGCACAGTTTGCATTGTGAAAGAGAAGATTCGAGTTTATACAATATTACTAGTAAATCTCTTTTCATATTGATAAAATTTAGTCACTCAGAACATATAAACATAAACCTGCATATATACACTTATTTATTGAGATTATTTAAGATCGCTGCGTGAACTATTTCCATAATCTCCTCTAAACGGATAATTACTGTGTTAATTATAGAAATTGGAAAGCTATAAGACGAAGGTATGTCTCAATTGGCTAGTCTTTGGTAATGGTTAGATCTGTAGAAAGCTTTGTCGTAAAATTACTAATCTATTGTTTATGACCTATTCTTTTAGCTCATGAATTGACTAGTTTTATCTCATAACATATATTGATAGGTTTCGACCTGAAAAGCAGATTTTGAAAATTCCTGTCTGGTGTAAAATTCTTCTAGTCCATAATGATTCTTACATGTAAGTGAACGAACCATGTTATTTTGCAAGTAAACCGCGTTTAGACGAAGTTTGTTGACAATTTCTATTCCTGAAAAGATATTTATAGTTGGCTTGCAAATACTGATCCTGAGCTTTTTGATACATAAATCTTGGGCAAACATTGAACTGTCGTCAATGTCTTTCTGATTCCCAAGAAGCGTTGATTACATGTTGGCAGATAAATTAGTTTATGTTGTTTAAGACATTATTTTGCTTGTTGTTCAAGGTTGTAACTAACTGTTATTTATTAGCTATAGCGCACATAACAGTTTATTTAGTTACTGAAGCAGTAACGCTATGTTTAGGGTTGTCGGTATATATTAAGATTATACACAGACATTAACTTCATAGGTGGCCTTACTGAGACAGAGTAAATTTCGTATGCAGGAAATCGTTCGAACTATTCCTCTTACTATGGTTTATTGGAAGTCTTAATGTGATAAATTGAAAATGAGGCTAAGGAAAAAGACCAACAGATGAGTTCACGTAGTGAGCAGTGATCAAAGTACGCCAATATGACAAGTGCTGTTTCCGAGTCAAGTATTTTATAAGCAACGCAAGTAAAAATTTCCCAACTCCTTAAGGTTGGTTTATCATTTTCTCTAATTTTGAAATATTGCTGCCACAGAAAAAGTGAAGATAATGCTGATCAAATAGCTGTTAGAGCCTCTGCATGAAAGGATCTGGAGAGGCGGAGCTATCGTTGACCTGGTGTTGAAACACGATGATGATATTTAAGAGATCTTTTTATCACAGCTGTGACAACTGAGAATATTTGCTGATCAGTGACTGATTATCACTCAAATGAACCCCTTGGCAAATTTATAGAAAGCAAAAACAAGGTTTCTCGAATACGATGAATTTATTACATTTCTTTAACAACATGCAAGCTAATAATTTTGATTAATCTAATATTTTAACAGAATTAGGAATTACGAAATTCACTAAAGAAAAGTAAATTGTGAGGGGAGTGAAATCGGAAAGTTTTGAAGAAGTTTCTGTAACATTTCAGTTAATTTTATTGCATAATTACAAAGGAAATATCTAACATGAGGGAATATAAGTTTTTAAACCCAACATACCGGATTGTGCTCATAATTACGCAAACATTTTTACCACCATTACTTCAAAAGGCATTGATTACCAATGTTTTCTAATGAAACAAACTGGTTTTAGCCCAATAATTGCATCATAGTAGAGTTTCACCGAAATAATGTTTTCACACTACAAAACAAAATTTGTGAAAGGTATTGTCCATTGTAAATGTTTTTCTAATAGATATACTTCTGGATAGTTTGGAGGCTACTTTCTCGACAAGCCTCATTTTAAAATAGAGATGTCATCCCTCCCAACTCTTTATTGTCGTTTTGGTATTTGAACGAATTCCATGAAAAGGTTCGACTGACTTATTTGTATAACATACGGATATACAGCCATACGATTTTAGTGTAATTTAAGTTAGTTGAATTAATATTATACACATACATGGATTACTGAGATACTCGAGTTTTTTATTCATAGTATGTTTTACTTTTTTACTTCATACCATTTGAATTGCTGAATTTTACTACTTCCTAGTTTTAAGTGTGTGTTGTACGATGCAATGGATTTTTCAATGGCAAGAGAAGTTGACAATCATAATTATGCATTGTAAACGGTTAGCTAGCTTTGTTGTCTAAAGTACTTATTGTAACCAATATTCTATGGGATTGCTGAAATAATAGTTCTCAATAACCTTAGATGATACTATCGCTAAGCTAATAAGCACAATGATTGATACCATAATAAATCAGTCACTTCACAACTGAGCACTTTTTAGGAAACAAACATTAAACAACGATAGTAATAGTCATAATAATAGTAATAAATCATATTTACAATGTACATTTGAATTATACAATATACCTTAAAACATAATATCACTAAAAAAGAAGAAACATTGTCTTGTCAAGATAAAAAAAATAGGAGGGAATAAAATCATCACCGACGTCTTTTATCGCGCATATAATTTTTGAATCGTTGAAGTGCAATATTATCTGTGGATTTTTCGTTACGAATATGTGGTCGGCTATCTGCAAAAAATATACATATATAAATGGGAAGGCAATAAAATCCATATCATAGATGCTTATGAGATATGACAGTTAAAAAGTTATTTATAAAGTTTTAGATGGAAACAACTTAGTGATCTAGTAATTGTTTTAAGAAAAAGTTGCTTGAAATGTATGGTTAAATATCAAGCTGAAGTAGTGGTCTAGATGTTAGGCGTTTGAGCGCGGGACAGAGTCTCGGGTTCGATTTTCGACTCAGTAGTTTGAGTGGTTGGATCTTCTCCAAACCTGAAAGCTCAGAGTGCTATTCCTGGTGTGGTCGGGGATACGAATTGTTTAGGGGTCTCATACTGGGGAATGAGACAGCTGTCAGTGCTTCCTAGTTTTTAATGGTATTCAAACTGAGATCAATTTGTGATGAAAGCAACCTACTAAACTAAGCCAAATTAAACGTATTCAAAACTTCACTACACTGCGACTTTTTGTTTCTTGTCTGTATCAACGACAAATAAGAACAGAAAGATGAATCTCGATAAACTTACTATCTAAACGACGATTTTCCATTTGAGGAGACATTGGATTATTTTTTGTTGATTCCAGTTTGTTTGTATTATTATTGGCTATGTGGTTGAGTTCTCGTTCGTTGTTCAAATCAGCTCTTTTACTGATTCCATTTGTGTAACTATCTATATTTTTTAAATGAAAATTTACAAAGAAAATAGGAAAAACTTGTTGATTCATACTTTATAACACTAGTATTAGCAATATATTTTCGACAGCTTAAACGAGTAGTGTCCCACAAATAGGCGTAATAATTAACATAAATATTATAAAATTTAATGGTGATCTTGGCAAGGACTTTGTCATCTATAAAGAAAGTAGAGAATTCTGATATCATCTATATGTCCAATATCATGAAAATGAAAGTTACAACTATTTCTTTTGGTAAAGCTCAACGTAGATTTTTTATAATACTGGAGCACTTTAAATCTTAACATATGAATTCTTGGCATGATTTTAGGTTGACTCAAATGATTCCAAATAAACAGGCAATAAACTCCTGGAATTACTTTGGGCCACGAACCCATTGTATAACAGCTTTAAATACCATTTGGTTTAATATGGTTGTTTTATTGATACAGACTTAGCACCAGAAACAATCAATAAGTTTGATTAGAAGTTGTTGATATCACCCACCAGAGCACATGAAAGCATCAGGAATAAAGTCGATACCATTGACCGATAGGTTAAATAGTCCGAAGACTAGGTCAAATTGTTTGACTCAACCTTCGTGAAAATAAAAAGCTTGAGCGCCTATACTTCTGTCAGAAGGTTAGAAATGTTAAGAAACCAGTTTACGATAAAGTAATTAAAATAGTTCTCAAATTTCTAATTAATTCATCTATCAAACACTTCAGTATGAGGCATATTCCTAGTGAGAACTAATGGTATTATCTGGTTGTTCAAAACAAAGTAGGCAAGATAAGGTTTGAACATAGGGTTTAGGGGATGAAAGTAAAACTTTTTAACCATTAAACCACCGGTCAAGCCACCAAGCCAATGATAATTTTAGACATCAAATTAAATATCGCGTATATTGTTGGATATAATGTAGAGATTAGTTTCAGGTGAATAAAGTGCACACCCGAAATATTAAGGAATAAGGCATAAAAAAAATGATAACTTATTGAACTAATACAATATTAACTTTGACTAACACGCGATTATTCACGTCTGAATGCTAATACAGAAGACGTCACCATGCTGTGATCTACGAAACAAGTGTTACCTAATAAGATGACTAGAAGTTTTCACAGAAGTGATGTGACCCGTTACTTAGCTACCTCGAAAAATAAACACTTCATAACACTGATAGCAATGCACGTTCCTTTTTTCCCTTTTACTAGCATGTGACAACGAAAGCTGGGCTTCTAGTCACCTTGTGGTATATGCTACTTATGTTGACAGCTATAAGTAGTGGAATGCCTGGCAGCAGGAGACTGAGATTGCATCAAAGAGAACAGGAATGTAAACACAGAGCAATTGTAATAACAATAGAATTGAGGGAATCATGAAGCATGTAAAGGACAACTGAAGAAAGATATATATATATATATATATATATATATATATATATATATATATATATATATAGTATTTTATTTATGGTTTCCATAAATTTGAAAAAAGACTAATTCTGCATTAAACAACAAATTGGTGTTCCCCCACCTGAGTTCTTGTTCACTACAACCTAACTCCTTATGTTTTCTAATATAAACATTTGATGTATACAATTGTAATATTGACAAATTAAACGACGCATGAAGAGAAAGCAGCAAGGACAATCAGATTGACTATAATATAAATGTTGGTAATATGGAATATCTTACTATATTATACTTTATAGGTTCTATGAAATATGAACAAATAAATCTGGAAGCCACACGTGAATAGACAGCAAACATTAACTCACTCCACCGACTGTGCTGAACGAAGTTGACTGCCATACTAGTTGGTGCTATGTGATCTGTTGAATAACCATGTTTGCGACTTAATCTTTTTCTAAAAAGTGTTTGCTTGGCTTCTTCTGTGGCTTCTATGTTTTTCATTTTCGCTTCTACACCCAAATCAACTTCAGGGATACCACATAACATTTGGTTGGATAACATGTCTTCCTTCTGTTGACCAATTGAAGGTTTGAGATACTCAGGAACATCCTGTAGTAAGTCTGAATCTTCATCCCTAAATCAAATATGGAGAATTTACAAACAAAACATGATGAGAATTAGCATATTTAGTTGTTTGGATCATAGTTGTATTAAAATAATTTCAATAACAGGTATTGGATTTTGACTACATTTCAAAGACTAGTAACCTAACTAGTCTACTTTTTAACGATGAAATGAAAACTAATTCAAAATATATGTGACACGATGGGTTACATATAAACTAACTATGAACATTTCTAAGTTTGTGAACCTTAATTTATAAGCATAGGCTACGTAACTAACGCCTTTTAAATAACTATTGACGAAAACAAATAGAGATGGAAAAGAATTCATTCTCCATAAAGTTAAAAAGTGATTAAATGCAAATTTCTGTATTAGACTATATATTGAACATATACTATGACAGCTAATGGAAGCATTCAACTTCAAGAACCTTAGTAAGCAGAAAAGGGCTCGGAGTCCATAACTCATTAAACTAGGGGAAAGTGAGCTGAAAATAAGCTACAATATTTACGTACAGGAAAACTAGTATGGACAATCGAATGTATTAAACACAAAATTACAGGACTTGTTAATAAAATCTAACAATCATACAGTAAATGCTAAATTTGCAAAATGTCCATCAATTGTCTTAAAATGACTCAGACTTCATTGTTCTTGCATTCTCATACAAATTGCACTCTGTTTCCATTCTTTACTGTTCGATCCTCTTGTCTCTCCGCTGTCAGATATTCTGTTCATGACTAACGTCATGTACTACTTATGTCGATATAAGTAGCACATACCACACTACTATATGACCATGGGACTGAACTAGACATAAAACATCTAGTTTAACAGGAATAAATGAATATGAAATAGTACGAAGCTCAATTTAGATATATCATAAATTCCACTTAGCCACTGTGATAGATTTTGGACTGTCTTTTAAAATCACACACTTTTATTAGAGAATGTTTGACAGTATTCGTCCAATCAGTAACAAACAATGTACAACCTGACATTAATGTGTATACGATTAAAGTTGTTACACGAAGGGAAATGAAAAAACATGCCAAATAGAGCAGTCGGAAAAGTGACATCGGAGTCTGACTGTTTAGTCAAGTTTCAAAGTTTCCTGCAGTTAATATCGAAATGAAATGGCGTGGTTTGATATGTTAAAGATTATCATTTAGGTGGTAAGGCATTTGTGTAAAGATCTATGTAGTGTGGAAGTACTTTCTGTCTGGTTTCCACGTAGCGCTGGAAGTAACAGGAGAGTGGCCAAGTTTTAAAAAACGATTGGTTTAGGTTAGTTTTTAGCATGTCATAAGCTGCTTATTATAGCAAAACTGGTTCCAATCATTATTTTTAAAAAAATAACACTGAGAGCAATATGGTCTCATTTGTATGTTCATATCGTAAACAAACACTTTATATAAGGTCAGGAATTTAGTTCTAACACTGACGAATTATTCGTAAACTGTTTTAAGTTGCTTCTACAGATAAAGAATACTTGAAATATAATACATACGTTGTCTCCAAACAAATATAAGAAAAGCATAATTCATATGGAAAGTAATGAAACATACCGGTCTAGAGTGGAGGGTTTAATTAATCCCTTTCGTTTGGCTACTTCCTCCTCGATGTACTTGATCCTAAAATTAAGCATTATAAAGAATGGGGAAGATTACATTTCGGCATCTTCATCTCTCTTATTAGTTTCTGTGGCGAACGTTTTAGCTAGACGAGCTTCAACGTCATCGTCCTCTTCGGATTGTTTAGCAGATGAAATACTGTTTAGGTCAACTAGACCACCAGTCTTAAGTCTAAATGGGTCGTTGGCGATTGTTAGATTGAGATCTGGAACTTCTTTACCAGTGGCTAGTGCAGACAAGCTTACTCCAGCTGGTCGTTTCCTTAGTTTTTGCAATTCTCTTATTGCTTCCACAACTACTGTGGAGTCTGCAACAACAGGTGCAGTAGAATCTTCGAGACGATCCTCCTCAGAATCTGAAGAGACACTCAGCTCTGTGGTTTGTCTCAGGCATCGCACCTTACGCGACTTCATGTGACACCTGAAGGGAAAAAATGAAGCATTTATTAAGACTTGCTAGTTAAGGAACCTTCAAAACTTTCATAGACTTGACAGTATTTTTTGGACGTTGCCCCGTAAGATGATTGTACTTGAATGAGTTCAAGTGAATTGGAGACGCTACCTAGAGAGGAACTGAAAAATGACCGAAATATTCATCTGTAAGGGCTTTAGTTACAATCGGCTAACAACTTGCGCATTATGACTATTGATAGCTGTGAGCCTCAGTAATTATATTCACTTAACCAACGACTCTTACTGTATTCCGACAGAACATGGGTACCTAAATTTCACCTACACCTGAAGATAATCGGACTGATGATCTCAGAACTTTGGGTAGATCGTATCCAGACAAATGAGATGGAACGATCCATTAAAAGGACCAAATTTTCATGGATTCTTATGGTGATAAGCTACAACCTACCTTCACATGTTGTCATTAAAAAAATAAGTTTCGATTTCTAATTTAGTAACTGGTTCCCGAACCTTTCAAGACTGCTCGAAGACACATATTGGACTTTGTCAGGGGATGTGCTTAAACTTTCAGGTCCACTGGGGGATTGTCATATACTAAATGTTCACCTCCTGGTTTACACAGCGGACAACTTCATTGTTCCAGTCTGCTGGCAACCCAAGCTGCCAATTATAAGGAAACTTTGGCACATTTTAGGGAAGCCGCTATCGTAAATTTTGGGGAAAATGGCACAAAACCCACAAATTTCTCCAAAGTAGGGAGCTTGGGATATTTGACTTACTCAGAGACATGTCTAATATCCTAACCTTGTATGCCACTATCCAATAACTCTAAAATGAACTAATCAGAAACAACTTATTTCTTATTTTTGCACCTTGATTTCGACGAAAACGCCCCAATATAACTATTTCTATAGAAACCCCGTTAAAATGAAGCATACTATAATGAATTTTTGGAGATTTGTATAAACTAGGACTGAAATGCGAGAAAACATAAAATGTCATGTAACAGTCTAATTACTCCTGAAACCGTCGAACAAATATAAACGTAACGCCAAAAATTGTACTACGAATCTCTTTATCTCAATATCCAATGTCTTTGTGGTGAGCTTGTCTAAACCTATTGACTGGGTGAATTTATCCGTGAATGCCACACTGACGAAACTGAGTTGCGTTTAAAAACACCCTATTTATTTCTCTGAAATATCTTCTACAAGTTGTGGTCGGGTTATAGGTCTTCCATGCCGTAAAATGTAGGTTACTCAGCTACTCCGTTGTATGAAACCAAGTGGACTTGGTAGTTAAATGGTTCAAGTGGTTGTAGGCGGGATAGAAGCTTTAAATGGTTCAAATGGTTGTGGACAGAATAGAAGAAACTTTCGCTTAACAGGCTTCCGTGTCTAGGAGAAGGGGATCACCAAATCCTCCAGGCATGAACCTAGGTATGTTAACAATAAAAGAGGAAAAGAAATTAGTAAATCATAGTGTGATACTATCCATCGTCCTTAATAATAGATCGAGTTGCCTCTTAAAGGACTCCTGGGAAGTTGCTTGGACTAACTCGGCCGGCAGCGAATTCCAGCATTTGACAACTCTTAAGGAGTAGAAGTTGTGTCTACTGTCCGTTCTGCTACGTTGTGTCTCCAGTTTCTGGGTGTTACCCCTTAAATAAGTGTTGGAACTAAGCTTAAGTAGGTGTTTGAGAGGATGTCCAGAAGTGCTAAGGGGACTATAAACCATCAGAAAGTCACCTCTAGGACGTCTATACTCTAATGGGTAAAGGTTAAGTGAATGGAGGCGCTCTTCGTAAGGTTTAAGTTTGAGTCCTCGAACTGATTTCGTGGCTCGCCGTTGGATACGCTCCAAGGTGTCCTTATTCTTTTGGAGTGAGGGAGGAAATACTATGTTTCCGTACTCTAAATGGGGACGGGTAAAACTATCGAAGATTATATGGAAAGTTCTTCTGTCAAACTGGTCGAAAATGCGCTTCAGTGTTACCAGTGCAGGGTTAGCGTAAGACTTTAAATCGTAGGGAACCAGGACTCCTACATCTTTTTTTCGACTCGGAGTGCTACTAGAGTGGAGTTTCCTGAGTTGTAACTGGAGTCTGCGACATGTCGCAGATGAACTACTCTACACTTTGAAGTGTTAAAGGTAAGTCCGTTATCGTCTGCCCAACTTTGAAGTCGAGTCAGATCCTCCTGAAGGGTCTGTATATCGTCTTGATTGCGTATCTCTCTCCCAAGTTTCACGTCATCAGCAAAAAGTAATAATTACGATGTCACCTGTTGATTAAGATCATTTACGTATATCAAGAAGAGAAGAGGTCCTAGTACTGAGCCCTGGAGGACCCCACTAGGACATTCCATAGCCTGAGATAAAGTGAAATGAACCCTGACTTTAAAATGTCGATTTTTCAGGTATGAAGTGAGTCAATGGATTGGAGATGGTCTGATACCCAATCGTTTAAGCTTATTGATAAGACATAAATGGTTAACCTTATCAAAAGCTTCTGAGAAATCTAGGTAGATGATATCAACCTTCTCCTTGTGATCAAGGATGCTTGCCCATCTGTCCACCGCAGTCAGCAGGTTGGTAATACAAGCGTACGCCTTCCTGAAACCATGCTGTTGAGGTGAGGAGAAATTTAAGGACAGTAAATAGTCATTTATACCATCGCATATCAGCGACTCCATAATTTTTGGGGGTATAGAGGGAAGAGCCACCAGTCGGTAACTTGAAGGTTCGCTGCGTCGAACTCCTTGGAAAATTGGTGTGGTGTGAGCCAGCCTCCAATTTTCCGGTAGTTTTCCTCGACTTAGCGAGTGTGAGAACATCACGCTTAGCGGCGTTGCCAAGATTGAGGCTGCTTCCCTCAGTATGGCGGAATGGACCATGTCCGGGCCAGAAGAAGTGTCTAATCTTAAGTGCTGCAGTTTCCGGAACACCAAGTTAGCGCTTAGGTTCACTTCGGAAAGTCCTGTGGAATTGCAGATGAAACTGTCATCATTAAGGTTGATGTCGGTCGGTTGAAATGTCTGGGGGTAATGTTCAGCCAGAAGGTTAGTGGCGTCGCCATCGTTGTTGGTCGGGCCGTTAAGATCTACCAGTTGGGAAACTCCAGTTTTGGCTTGACGAAGAGAGGCTGCATAACGGAATAAGCTTCTAGGATTAGAGGCAAATTTGTCCATAAGCTTTGTCTGGTACTGAAGCCTATCTTCTCCTATAGCTTTCGTGCATATGTTCCTTATATGTTTATATTGCCTGTACGCTCCATCGTTGTCATTTCATTTGTATTCCGCCCAACAGTGACTTTTGCGGCTTAGCAGGCAAAGGGTACTGTTCTTGATTATTGTAGGTGGCTTTCAGATTTTGGGAACCGTTTGAGGAACTGAATGGTTTGTAGCACATAGGAGCGTGTGCAGTAAGAAGTCTCAATGACCGTCCACATCGAGTTGAGGGTGAACATTTTAATCCACCTGTTGTAGATAGTCGTGTAGAACTGGCACATTCAACCGTTTAAAATTCCAACGCAAGTTATTGGTGGGATAACTTAGCTTAGTTTTGCTGACAAAACTGAAGGCTATGACGGCATGATTGCTTTTTCCCAGGGGAGCTAGGATTGAGAGGTTGTCAACTAAAAATTCCTCGTTTGTGAATACACAGTCTAGGCGCGATGGTGTCTGACTGTTTCTCCAACGTGTTGCCGACCTCACATTTTCGTATAATCCCAAGTCATCGATGAGGTTGAAGAACCGAGCTTCAATTGACTTGTCGCCTCCAGTATACGTGTGTTCCGTGAAGTTGACTCTAGGGAGATTAAAGTCCCATAGAATCAGGATGTGTGTGAAACCGAGACGATTAGAGCGGGATAGTCCTTCCAGCATACGACTATCGTACTCAATGTGGGCAGTTGTCTTCCTGGAAATTACTCAGACTAGACACCTCGAAGTACTAGACAATCTTACAGAGCACCATATGGATTCCTTAAAGTTGTTAAACTCGAGGTTATGAACTTGGTGCACCTCCAAGCAAGAACGTATCTAAACGGCTACTCCACCCCCAATTCCTGATTTTCTGTCGTTGCGGAACAAAGACATTCCAGGTAATGCTAACTCCTGGTTCGAGAACTGAAAAGATATCCAAGTTTCAGTTATTTCTATCAGATGAACCTTATTAGTATTGCTAAGTTCACGTAGGTCATTCATTTTGTTCGGTAGACTCGCGGCGTTCACGTATACGCAGTTTATGCTTTCAATTTGAAACGCGTGAGCTTCTTCCTGTTTGTCTGTATGAGCCTTACGTGAGTGGACAGGTAGCCTACCTATATAAGGTTTGACGAGTCGGTAGGCCCTGTCCTTTACACGTTTTTTTATCGTCTAGACAGTCCACAAAAGGAATGGTCAGCTCCAACTTGCCTTTGTGTTTGGTCCTAGCTTCGTATAGCCTATCCGGGTGCATGTGGATTCCAGGTGGCAGTCGACGTCTGTTGTCACGAAATGCTTCCAGAGTTGCAGCCGCCATATGGGAAGATGGGAAGGCTATGTTCATTAGATGGGGTCTTGGATGACCATCCTTCTTGGCTAGTCTCGTCACATGCTGAGTCAGGATGTGTTTGAGCCTCAAGGACTGTTTGATGAATTTCCATTCCCTGGTGTCAGTCTTTGATTGAGTACAGTCCGTATTTTACGGTATACCTCGCACGATTATATTCCTCCCGCGGAAAAACTGATCGCGAGATTCTTTGGAGATGTTCCGGATGAGATGACGCTCAGAATATGGTATGTCAGGCAGTATTCTTACATTCCCATCTGATTTCAGTAAACGACTCGCTAGTAAGACATCCTCAACGTCGGTAGCATTCTTAAATGTTACACAAAGTAGCCTCGGGTGATTTTTATGCTTAGATTCCTTTCCCCGAGTGAGCCGTGTGACTGTCAAATTCTGTATTCTTTAAAGTTTAGGTTTCTTGTTCAATTCTCCCCAGAGCATCCTATCATTTTTGTCCTGCAAAATGAGAGGAATGTGAGGGTTGTCTTTTATGTTCATGACTATGAGAGAGTCATCACGAACCGTTATTGTCGTCCCAGGTTTTCCGGTGCGTTCAGGTTTAGCACCTTGTTGTTTGGGGGTCGAAGCACGTTTATGAATCCTTGGCTTTAAGTTTTCGCTTAACTGGATTCTGTGTCTAGTAGTAGTGAATCACCAATACCCACAAACAGTAACCTAGGTATATTAACGGTAGAAAAGGGAAGAGCAATCTGTAAATCACAGTAAGATACTATATTTTGGTCCACCAGGATACTATATTTAGTCCTTAA